TGGAAAACTCCATGCTAAATTTTTCTGTCTTTTTGATTTGCAAGTACTTTTCACACCAGAAAAGCAGACAGTATCCAAAGTTATTTCATAACCAGCTTTGGTAGCTACCTGCTCAGTGAACTGACAGTTTAGAATAGATATGGAATGGGAAAACTTAATGGAGCATTCTTTATGTTATTTGTATGAATTTCTATATACAGACAAGAGAGAAACAAACAAAAATCCACGCAATCCAAACAAAACTACACAAACTTTCAGGGCCATAACAAATACTACAGGTGTGAAATAAAAGCCGTAATCCTTAAGCTAAACACAGATTTAAAACAATTGTTCAGGAGTTCAGTTAATTATATTAGGTAGTTAGTTTATACAGCCAAATACACAGCCATACCATACAAACCACTGTAACTTGCTTGAGGACAGTATTGGTGACATCTTCCCTCACCATTCTAAATGCCTCACCTACATATCACATCTTGCCTCCATCCTTAGATTAGCATGGTTACAATGTTACAAGTAACATCTACCTTCTACAGAAAATAATTTTAAAATCTGTGGGAAATTCAGTGACAGTGAAAGTCACACATTTTGGCATGCCTTTATTTGATTTGCCTCTATCAAAATACTAGGAAAAAAACCATAAATGCACACTCTTTAATCTTGGCAAGTGAAAAAACTGTCACCCTTAAGAAACAGTTCCATAAAGGTAAAAATTCTCAAGTGCTGGAGCACAGGCAGGGCCAGACAGGAATTATATGTTATATGATTTCCCAAGACTGCACATACTCCATATGCGTGCTTCAGTTATCCCAGGCTCTTCAACTGACTGTTCGGACTGGCAGAATTCTAAGCATCCTCAAAGCCTCACATTTTACACAGCAGTGGAAGGTCATAACTTCTCAGAACTCTCAAGAACTGTGTCCATGTGTAAGGCACACGTGCCAAGTTTCCATAGTTGTAAGATTACAAGGTGGTCTTGAGGACAGTCCTGTCCTGTGTAAGGACATTTGGAAGGTGGTAACGTGCTTTTACTGGGAAAGAACATCAGCTTGACGTCTAGTGATTGAGACAAAGTCAATTTAAGAATTTTCAGGTTTTTTTTCTTACTGTTCCCTTTCCTGCCTCAAGTTCTCCTCCATTTAAGCTTGCATGAAATAAAAAATAAAGAAGCCAGAATACTTTTCTATTAACTGCTAACAAAAAGAGATGCAACAAATTAAAATCGTCAAAGACATCCTTATGGCAAACTCATATTCCCTGACCTACCTAACAACACACAGAAGTTGGCACATCTTATGACTTACCCCATACTTATGACTTACCCCATACTTATGACTGGGAGTTCATTTTGAGAATAAATAATACTGGATTTTAAACTGCAGAAGACAATAAAGATATTTCAAAATTTTCTTAGCTAATAATAGTAAACAGCACAGTATTTATTTGCTTACATAAATAAAGATATAATGATCTTACAAGTGAACTGTCTGTAAATTCTTCTATGCAATAGTTCTGTTAAACCTTGAAAGGAAAAACCATCTCTCTGATTAATACCAACTAAAGTGAAATGAAGGAAGTAAAAGATTGAAAGATTTCATTCATAATTTTAAATCTTTCAACTGAGGTTATTATCCAAGAAAGAAATTATGTATATATAATATGTATCAGTACTATTCATGATTTGTATTTAGACTTCAAGAAGCAGGCAATGGTGAGAGAAGAATGTACCCATGCCTGATACCTTCAGAAAGACAAACAAACCCCCAAACCGTATCTGTACCATTATCATGCCAAGAATACAGGGCATAAGATTTAGCTTTCAGCAATCAAAATTCCACTAATTTTAAGTCACCAGGTTCACAAATATTAAGCAAGAACTTAAAAGTGCTTTGATTTGCTGCATAGGGGCCAGAGTACTCAACAGAAGTTACAAAGCCCTCCAATGGGTAACTCACTGTGTCTGGAACAGGAACTACCCACAGATCTCAGTGCATCACTAAGAGAACATGACCCTTCACACCTCCCCATCAAATACACACATACACTTCTCCTCTGTGAAATTATTTTTAAACTGGTTTGCTGCGGGTTGCTACTGTAGTACCTTTTATTCTCCTGGCTGAAATGCAAAATGAAGAATTCCTCTGAACACAACAACTAATGCACTTTATACTAGGTAAAGAAATGCAGAAATGCAGAGGTCAACTCAGC